CTGCTTTTCTCAAGTTGTCTGATTGTGGAGCCAGAGTAAGCAAAGATTTGATCTTCAAAATAAGGCCACTTCAAGACATAATGCTCCCTGCCCAGAAATATCTCAGCCACCCTGAAGATTTTTTTTAAAGTAGCAGGCTAGGATGAAGAGTGTATGATAAATCAACAAAGATCAGAAATTTAAATTTATTATTGAAATTCCTTCCATTATTATCTTCTTCAAACATGCTGTGATGTAATAATATGGCTAAAAAAACAAGAAACAAAGGGCTAGGTTTGATCTGAATATTGCCTTCAATTCAGCATAAATTTTGCTTTCAGCATGAATTGGTTAAAGGGTGTTGGGCAAGTCCCTCCCTGCTGGCCCTCCCCCCTCCCCCTACGCCTCATGTACAGCTCTGTTTGAAGCACTATCATGATTAAACTTTCCATGGTTATTAAATACATCCCTGGGCATTAAGTTTTCCAAATTGCCCAAGTTTGGGTTTGACATTGCACTCTTTAGTCAAGCTTTCCCCAAGTCCATATCAATGCAGTAATTCTAAAAAGACATTTCTTTTTCTTCTGGGTTTACCTCTTGAGAGTTGAATAAGCCTAGACATTTACAAAATCATTCATTTCAAGAAGGAAAAGCCAGTTGCGGAAAACATTTGTTGACCACTATTATAAGGTCAGCAATACATATACCCAGTGATTTTGAAACTATTAAAAAAAAACAGACCTTAAAAAACCCTTTAATTTTGGTAAGATGATTGAGTTATGTATTTTTTTCAGCTTATTACATTTTAGAAAGTGGAAAGTGTCCCATTAAACATAGTAAAAAGAATGATTTGAGGTCAGTCCAGCATTGGATATCCTGCTATGTATGTAAGATAAGTGGCCCAGGGGATTCCCACCACCACAGAGTGCCAGCTCCATCAAGTCTCACATTTTGTCATTTGTCTTTAATTTTGATGGCCAAAGTCACTGCCAAATCTGTGATTTTTTTTCTGTCAACTTGCCTAGCCTGTGGCTGGCAAAGAAATCCCTGGGGCATCCTAGTCTCTTTGGTTAACCACAGTATCCAAATAACATTGATTCCTCATCCAGAAAAAGAAAACAAAAAACAGGGAAACTAAAGGAAGGCTCATTCCCCCAAGGATCTTGTTCATTGGTCTTTTCCAAAACATTTGCAAGAAACCTCAAGGGCCTTGGCAAGATACTAAAAGCACAGATTAAAAAATTTGGACAGATATAAAAGCCCAGAAAATTCTTGGTGACTTGATAGAACTATTTATAAATAGTAGATCAGGCTCATTTGTTGCCCCAAAGCCTTGCAGAATTGCCAAAAAAAGGAAGTTGAGCCATCTTGAGCTATATCAACTAACTGGAAAAAAATGGGGGCTACAGGAAATCTTTGTGGTGCACCCGAGCTACGGGCTTGGGCAGACCCCATAAGAAGTTTTTCAGAGCAAAGCAGTCCATGTGTACTCAAATACATCTGATAATATTTAGCAGCACAAACTCTCAAGGACAATTATATACAATCATAGCCAAAGTAACGTTAATGGTGGAAAAACAAATAAATGATATCATAGCAATAGAAAGGAAAAGAGAACCAATAAAATTGTAGATTTAAAATTTTTGAAATTTGGGATAAAGCAAATCTAATTATGGTTTGGAAAGCATCTGCATGCGATCAAAGAATGGTGAGATACATTTAAGGATCGATCACAGGGGTTGCACTATCAGAAATTGTCAAAGAAAACGAATAGCTCACATATGTTCAGTCATACCAAGCCAGGAAAACCACTCATTGTCCCCTGCTGTCCAATTAATCAGCAACCAACTAGATGGCAGGATTTTTTTTTTTCATAGAATAACAGAGTTGGAAGGGACCTTGGAGGTCATCTAGTCCAACCCCCTGCTCGAGCAGGAGAGTGGTGCAGTGGTTAGAGTGCAGTATTGCAGGCTACTTCTGCTGACTGCCAGCTGCCTGCAGTTTGGCAGTTCAAATCTCACCAGGCTCAAGGTTGACTCAGCCTTCCATCCTTCTGAGGCGGGTAAAATGAGGAACCCAGATTGTTGGGGGCAATTGGCTGATTCTGTAAACCACTTAGAGAGGGCTGTAAAGCAGTATATAAGTCTAAGTGCCCTTGCTATTCCTATTTTTAGTCTCTACCTAGGATGGAACTCACAGCCTCCTGATTGTGAGGCAGGAGTTCTACCTCTAGGCCACTGGAGCTGCTGTATAGTTTCCTAACAACAGTACACCATCAACAATAAGGAAATAGCCAGCCTGATCGGATACCTCAAGGGTGCAGAGATTTAACTTTGCTTCTCAGTGATCCACAGGAAGTGTTATGTTCTTAAGATAAATGTTTAACTTGGTTCTGGGAACCTACCAGACCGGACATGGTCTGCTCTTGTGTATTGCTTAGTCAGCCTCTAGGAACAGTTCCCAACCATGCATTCATTCCACACGTCTAGGATGAAGAGTGCCAACACATGATCTCCTATGCACAGAAAAAATTATATTCAAGAAGTGAGAAAGTTAAGCCACTGCATTCAAACTAACAGCAAAATGGGGGTGGGGGGTGCAAAGACTTTTTTTTAAGAGATTCACAAAAATATATTGTAGTATTTTTTGGAAAGTGTTCCACCTAAAACGACTTCTTTTTAACAGCTGTTTCGAATTCTCAAAGACATTCTCAGTTTCAGTGCATAAGTCTTTCTCTGACGATCCTCAGGAGAGACTAAAGCACAACAATCTGAAATAGATATCCATGCTATTTATACAAATAGGCAACCAAGCAAAATACTATAGAGTTATTCAGGGAAGGCTCATGATACAATAGATGTTAACAATCTAAAAGCATACACAGGATGTTTTCCCAACTAATGTTGCTTCATCTAATTAGATGGTGACCCCAGGTAGGGAACAGAAGATCGCAGAGCCAAATAAACACAGTGAGAGGAATAAAATGCAGATTATGCAAGTTAATTCCTCTAAAGATTCTTGGGTTGTTGCATTTATGCTTTTTTTCTAGGCTCTGGTGATCCTGCCTTCCCAATGCTAACTGGTGCAGAGCTCAAGATAAACTGGCACTTTTGACAGCTCAGGATCCTCAGATTACATGAGCATTATACTAATGTCTCTCTAGGGCCATCTGGGACCTAGTTCTGGCTCATTCTGATACTGTCCTCACATCATTGTCTCTGGCCTGATCCTTGCTGTTATGTGGATCTAGGGTCCCACCCAGTCTCTATCCATTCATCCATTACCTTGGTGCCTCTGCTGGGTGTTCCAGTAAGCAGCTTACATAATTTCCCCCTCCCAGCTCACCATGTCTCTCAAGACCTCCTTGCTCAATAAACAAATTATATTACAATGGCCTGTCTATTTTTATGATGTACTAAACTCTAAAACAATGTTCAAGTCCTCAATTTTTGATCCCAAATCTCCATCTTTAACCTATTTGTAATGCCAAGCAGTAATACACTGTGCTGAATAGAGTTTCTGACGAACGTCTTACAAATGTGTAATTACACATGCATATGACAGGCATGTTGGCCAGTCCATCCTGTAAACAGCATCAGGAAATTGTTATTGAGTGAAAAGACTTTAGGGAGGGAGAAAGGCCACGCCTCTCCCCACTTACTATCAAACTCAGTCACTAGGAAAGAGGACTGCAGGTAAGTATGCAATATGTATGTAGGAATGAATGTTTGCACATGTATTGGTGCAACTAATAACTAATGCACTAATAACCCTAATGGGAATCGGTAGGTTGCATAGATATATATCAAGACATAGTTGCATTTTGATAATCCTGTGCCAAATTGAACTGGCTCTGCAACAGAAGCCAATAATTGCGCAAGAGGAGCATGGAGAAAGTAATACTCTCCCATTATTTGACATATCTGTCCCTATGATATGATATTGTATGTCATGGAGGCCCGTTTACTAGTTATGATGAACTAGTTGTTAATTGTCTTAGCCTTGTATTTTTTTTCAGTAGTTTTAAGATTCTGATAAATGAATCCTGCAATAGAACATTGCATCAAGAGATACTTCTACATAGGGGATTAGCCAGCCAATTACCTGTTCCCTTCTACTCAAGTTGACCTCCCAATTTCCTGTTCCTCTCTGCAATGAACTCAAGGCAGAGTTCATATGACATGCTTAATCCCATATCAGATTAACAAAGCCAGTTGTTGTGTTCATATCACATGGCATGTTCAAACAAGCACATTATTAATTGACCCAGTATGTTAAGACTTTCCCATAATGTGCTAAACAACACAGCCCCCTTTTAGCCTACTCTAGGCAGAGGTTCTAGTATCATAGAGAGTTTCTGTGAGAGATATTTCCCTCTTGTTGTTCCCCTGCCACAGCAAAATATATTTATATATATTTTCTGCATAGCATAGTATATTTTTAAAATGTCAATACCTTCCTTTTGAATGTAGTCTTTCTGTTCTAGCATTCAGAGGACAAAATTGCCATGAAAGATTACAAAATGTTAAACTAAGTTAAAATAAGAAGCATTGAAGTTAACTTCTTCATATGTGTCAAACTATCAACTTTGGAGAGAATGGCCAATTGCTTGCCAGGAAATTATGGACAGCTGTAATTTGGAGATCACCTGATCAGAGAAAGATGGCAGCATTTACATCTGTTGGAAAGGAACAACTGTGCAGATATGGATCTTAATTGTTATTGTCAAGTCATAGCTAAAGAGCAACCTCTGTTTTTGTGGTTATTTGAATTCTGGCTATTTTGATCACACATAACAGTCTCATTGTGTCCCAAAACATACTCATGCTATCTGATTCTAATAGTGCTATAAGTCTGTGGGAGGCACTGGCATTATTTAATAAAGCTTCTTTACCCAAAGAACTCAAAAGGACATCTGATAAAAGCCAAATATAACAGGTCTAGACAAAAAGTAGCAATGCTTTGTTTCACCATTGCTGATACTTAAACATGTTTGTTTTAATTTTACTTTTATATTTTAGAAGAGGACTTTCCTGGAGAAGACGAGGAAATGCCTTCCTTCAGATACAGACCAAATGGTAAGAGAAAGTTAAGCCTGTCTGGGTTGTCTCCTCCCTCATTGCCCTTCTTTTTTCACTTCATTCCAGCACTGGAAAATCTTGGAAACTCTACTGGGTTCTCCAAAAACACCCTTCCACCCCTGAGGACTATGTTCTGTTTTTGTGCAGTCTCTGCTCTCACAATCCTTTCTCTTTGGGGTATATTTCAAAAATCCAAGGCATATGAATGAAGTCAGAAGCTGAACTCAGCCCTAGATATACCAGGTTCTCCATGTATACTTTATCCCTTGCAGGCCGAATGAGGACCAACTGCAGTCAATGTGAGAAAAACCTAACACTACAGACATCTGTGAAAGTGTTGTATGTCTTTGTTGTCTTGCTGGTAGTGGCAGTGGTGGTGCTGGCAGCTTTAGGTGAGTAAGGGACTACCCATTTTTCCTTTATTTGTTTATTAAGCCACCTAGCTCCATGATGATGCTGGGCAGCTTACAGCAGTAAAACAACACAAACTAATATAAATGAAGTAGAAAGAAGACAAAAGTTAACTGAAGGGACAACCATCCAACTCATTACATAGAAGTCTGATGAGAGGTTTATCATCTATCTTAACTCAAGGCCTGGGGAAAAACATATTTGTCTCTTGAGGAAAAGACACACCATCACCTCTTTCAAGGCAAGAGATACTAAGCACTTCAGATTTCATACTAATCCCAAATTGGAATTGCTACCCTATCCAGGACAAATATGAGGATTCTCCAGGGAAAGATGGAGCCAAAACCATTGAATATCATCAGCATGCTGATAATACTTAGTCATTACCCAGAAGATCAGCTGCTTTGGGTCTGGGATCTTTTCTCCCCTTGTCCATGCTGACAAGAATCACCCAAACAGAAAGGAGGAGAACCATTGCAGCATAGCCCATTGTAATCTTAACGTGCTTGACGATATTGAAATCTGCCGAATGATCAAGGAGAGCCAGAGTGATAGCAGCAGAAGTCATCAAGAAACCAGTCTATATACTATGGCCACTTTGAAATACAACTGAAGAATCTATGTAATCCATTTTCTCCAGATTCCTCTAGTCTATTGAACCGGACAGCTAGAATATTCTTCACTGCGTCTCTAGGAATGATACTGTAGCTCAAACATGTTTTCGTGTTCCCAGTTCTCTATAGTAGCTGAAGCCCTGCAAAGCATGGAGAAAAAGGCATTGGTCCATATTTCTAATATTAGGGTGTTAGCTGCTGGCAGTGCTATGACTCATGCAGCTTAAATGCTGCAGACAGGGTGTATCTGTGGGAACTCAGGTATCATTAATCAACCTCCTTCAGCATTTTCCAGCACCCTGGAAGGAGGAGGGCTTAAAGTATCCAGCAATTCTTCCTTTTCCCCAGATTCCCTTTTGATGGCCCTTCCTGGTCCAGCTTTGTCTTTTTTCTAGCAATTAGCCTGCACTTGTTCCCCCTTCAGTTTTAAGAACTGGCTAGCAAAGGCCAATCTTGGTATGTTATTCCTTTGGGGGAAGTGTTCAGTTTACCACGGCGACTCTGCCTGCCTGCTTTGGATTCCATCTGCTTAGCCTGGAACATCTGCAAATAAGTCTCGTCTTTTTTATGAAGCTTTTTGGCAAAATGTTTTAATAATATATATATGAAATTTAATGGTGAAAAAGGTAGAGTTCTACATTTAGGCAAGAAAAATCAAATGCACAGTACAGCATATGTGGTACCTTGCTCAATAGTAGTAACTGTGAGAGGGATCTTGGAGTCCTAATAGACAACCATTTAAATATGAGCCAGCAGTGTGCAGCAGCAGCCAAAAAAGCCAACACAGTTCTAGGCTGCATAAACAGAGGGATAGAAGCAAGATCACGTGAAGTTTTAATACCACTTTATAATGCCTTGGTAAGGCCACACTTGGAATACTGCATCCAGTTTTTGTTGTCACGATGTAAAAAAGATGTTGAGACTCTAGAAAGAGTGCAGAGAAGAGCAACAAAGATGATTAGGGGACTGGAGGCTAAAACATATGAAGAACTGTTGCAGGGACTGGGCATGGCTAGTCTAATGAAAAGAAGAACTACGGGAGACATGATAACAGTGTTCCAATATCTCAGAGGCTGCCACCAAGAAGAGGGAGTCAAGCTATTCTCCAAAGCACCTGAGGGCAGGACAGGAAGCAATGAGTGGAAACTAATCAAGGAGAGAAGCAACTTGGAACTATGGAGAAATTTCCTGACAGTTAGAACAATTAATCAGTGGAACAACTTGCCTCCAGAAATTGTAAATGCTCCAATACTGAAAGTTTTAAAAAAGATGTTGGATAACCATTTGTCTGAAGTGGTGTAGGGTTTCCTGCCTAGGCAGGGGGTTGGACTAGAAGATCTCCAAGGTCTCTTCCAGCTCTGTTATTCTAGTCTATTCTATCTGTTTGCAACATGGCCTTAAAAACATGAAACTAAACGAATCTCAAATTGATCTCAAACCTTGGTGTGTTTATCCATGGTTTGTTGAAGAAGTCTTTGTTGGCTGGGGTCACTATGCGCTAAGGCTAAGCCAAAGAAAAAACAATTATTGATTTCCCCCATATAATAATGATAAACACCATCAAACAACATTGGCTATCCCAGGTCCTTGAAATGGAGTTGCTAGGTGGATAAAAATGTCAAATCCAGCCTGAACATCTAGTTAATTGTGGTGTGACAGACCATAATAATAAACTTGTTTGCTGCCTGATTCCCAACAATTGGGCTGCACACTGTTTTCTTTCATTTATGTTACTGCTTTATTGTTTCTAGAATAAAAGCCTTTTTGACATGACCTATCTTCTCATAATCTGAAAGTATTTTTTGAAGGATTTTTCATCCATCTTATTCTCTGCAGCCTCTAAATGGATTGGCTCCACTTACAAATATAGCCTTTCTTTTCCTGGCCTCTTCCATCACATGAATTAGGTCCCCCTATGTTGATTTTGAATAATTGTTCTATGGATGAATACAAAGTCCTGAGCCTATTTGCATAATTTCTTCCAGCATTCTTTTGACTTGGAAAGAATGAAAAGACATCCCAATCTGGTTTGCATATTCCTCTCACGGTCTATAATGGAGCCTGCAACAAAAGTGCTTGTTAAGGCTGGAACAAAAGTGGCTGTGTTGAAAGAGCAGTTGTGTGCTTCATATCCTACATAATCTGCCAGGTTGTAAACATGGCCTAAACCAGTGGTGGGATTCCATTTTTTTTACTACCAGTTCTGTGGGCGTGGCTTGGTGGGCGTGGCAGGGGAAGGATACTATAAAATCTCCAGTCAGAGGTAGTATTTGCCAGTTGTCTGAACTACTCAAAATTTCCACTACCAGTTCTGAACTGGTCAGAACCTGCTGAATACCACCTCTGGCCTAAACGTTCCCAAGATGGAGACTGCAATCCTATCCCTTTTAAGGAACAATCTGATATTGATATCAAGCCAAGTGGAAATGGTACCCTAAAAAAGCAACTGTCCCAAGGATAGTTAGGGGCTCGTCTTTCTTTTGTCCTCGGTTTGAACCAATTCCAACTGGCAGTTAGGAATCTTTCCTCTTTTGAGCCAAGGAATGTAGAGGATGGAAAGCAAAAATCCTACATTCCCAATTTGTGTATTAGATACTAGGATGTAATAGACCCGGGAAGAATGAACACAATAGAAAAAAGGTCAACGTCACTGGTGAAAACTGAGCATTATTTTAGTTCAGAAACAGCTTGTTATTTATTAGAAAAGCCCTAACATACTTTTTCTATACAGTCACTCTATATGACTATATATAAGATAAATAGAAAGCTCTAACTAATGCCATAATATGTTTGTTAGGTTTTTAAAGGCCAGAGCTTATCACCCTATACAAGCATTCAGGATACCCAGCAGCATCTGCAGGAAACTTCACTGATACTTAAAAGACAACATCCATGTGGAATTGAATAAGTGGAGTATGAAAAATGGATTTATTTAATTATTTCTATCTCACCTTTTAATTTTTACAAATAACTCAAGGCTGAAAACATATCCAACACACCTTCCACCTACTATTTCCCCACAATAACAACCCTGTGAGGTGAGTTGGGCTGAGAGAGAGAGAGTGGCTCAAAATTACCCAGCTGGCTGTTGTGGCTAAGGCAGGACCTGAACTCACAATCTATGACTTTCTAGCCTGGTACCTTAACCACTAGTCCAAATTGGTTCCCAATTTACCTGAGTGGATTGATGTGAAAGTTGTAAACTACTCTAAGAACATGATGCGAGGAGACAGACCTCTTGTAAACATGGAGCCTTTCAGTTGCCATACATAAAGCTAAGCATGGATGGGTCAGTTTCAAGTCTTTGTCTTTAGATGGACCTGTCCACCAATCAATTTAAACAAATAAGAAAAAAAATGGCAATGGGATCTAGTGTTTCAGCCTCTCTTGCAGCCAAAAGTGGTCAGAGGGGCAAGTAAAGAAACCAGGGATTAGATTGAAAAGTATGACCGTATAACAAGGAAAATTCAACAGCTGCCAGAAAATTAATTAGGAAATATTCTGGAAATATTTTCACATATATAAATTGAATTTTTAAACAGTCAAATTGAAGAAATCTGATTTGATTCCATAAAGCTGCATCCCTTTCAATCTTTGTTCCTCACTGGTAAAACTTATCCATAAGGAGGAAACCTCAGTGGAGATGTACAGAATGTAAAGATCAGATGAGCAGCTGGCTTGGAAGAACCGCAAGGATATGGTGAATTGCAAAATAAACATGAGTCAGGAAAAATCCTGCAGTGGCCAGGACAAGGGAATGTTTGGGGGAGATGTATGGGCCAGAAAACTTGACACTGTTCCACATTGCTTAGTACTTGGCTGGAGGAAGGAAATCTGCCCTTGAGGAAAAAGGAAATAAAATACAGATCTATCTGTATTGGAGAGGGGAGTAGTTATACACTATTGCAGAATGAAAGATTAACCAGGTTCCTAGAGCTATCGATTTCCTATCGTAGATCAATTTACTGAAATCTCATTTTATATACTGTATATCTCATTTTATTGTACTGAAATCTCATTTTATATGTGTGTGTGTGTGTGTGTGTGTGTGTGTGTGTGTGTGTGTATATATATATATATATATATATATATATATATATGTATGTATGTATATGTATATGTATGTGTATATATGTATATGTATATATATGTATATGTATATATTGTATATATATATGTAGAGTGCATCAAGATGGCAGAAAAACACCTTAATCAGTTATATTCAGAGGGGATTCAAGAGACCACAAGAAGGGATGGCAGATAACCAACCTGTGGTTTAAAGGAACATTTCCTCATTTTGGACTACTATAACTTTCAGTAATAAACTTTCTCTATAATGAGAAAGTCTGCAGGCAAAGTACATATATGGATTTGGGTTCTTCTAATATTTGCAGAGATTTATAAAGAAATGACACAATAAACATTCCAATAGGCAGCTAAAACTCAATGCTCTAACATGTGATATGCCAGACAGATTTCCCAAACATTTGTTCTTCATATGTGTTATATTAAACAAATCCTATAATTTTCCTTCCCAGGAAGATTCTCATTACTGAACGACCATTAATTTGTAACTTTTATAGCAAAGGAGACATTTGAAAACTCCTAGCCCGTTCCTATTTAAATTTGCATCATTGTTTGGCTTATGGTGCAATAGGAAATAAACACAATTAAAATCTCTTAGATGGAGTTTTCTTTCACCTGGAATATTTTATGCTGCCCAACCTTGTTGTTCACCTTGAGTTGATAATGACTCTGGCATAATCTTGAGTCAAAGACAATCACATGCTAATTCATTTTTCATGCTTTTCTTGCAGTTTTCAAGAAAGTGGGATCAATAGCTGATAAATTTAACTCAACTCAGACATATTATGAAAAGACAATTGTGTCAGTCCAAGAAAATCTTCAGGAACTAGGTAAGAGCAATGTTGCTGCTTTAATGTTTTCATCAAAAAAAAACCCATGAATGTTACATTCTAATTAGCTCCATTTATTTTAAGTTCCCATACTGATATGGTACATGTTTCAGTTCCTACAGGGGTTTGAAATTGATATGTCCTATATGCAAGGCAAGGCAAGACTCCTTCCCTACTGCAAACTGGAGGAAACCTCTGATCCTTCAGATGATGCAGATTTAACATCTTCCAGCATCTCTCATAACTGTTTTGGCTGGCAGTTGTATTAAGATTGGGGACCATTGTGATTATGAAGAGGGTTGATTGTTTGATTGATCTTACCAACCATACAAATAAATTTTCTTCATCATAATCTATGTCTACTGGTCCTTCTGATCTTCCAATAGTGCACTCATTGCAACTATGTTTGTCCCTGTGTATTTTGCTGGTAGGCATCTTCTTCCATCATTAGCACCTTCTCTTGGAAACTAGGTATTTGCATAATATGTCCTAAATAAAATAAGTTGAGCCTGGTCATTTGAGCCATTTGTTTGTTTCCTTGGCTGTCCATGGTATTCATCATAATATCTGAATATCTTTTCCAAGGCGTTTACTTTATTGTCATTGCACCTTGTACAACAAAATTAAATACCATCTTCAGTGTACATTATGACTATGAAAATAAACACACACATCCTTCACATTCTATACATTGAATCGAAAACTCCTCATATTGCATTAATATTGCACTATACAGTAGAATTCAATAGAGCTACTGCCCTGGGATAGAAGCTGTTTTTCAGCCTATTTGTCCTTGTTTTTATTATTCTGTACCATCTGCCAGATGGTAATAGTTCAAAAAAAGGGTTCCCAGGATGAGATGGATCTTTGAGAATGTTTTGAACTTTCTTAAGGCACCGGGACCTATAAAGCTCTTCCAAAGAGGGGAGAGGCAACCAATGATCATCTGGGCGATGATGTTAACCCTCTGGAGCGCTTTCCTATCTTCCACTGTGCATTTGGCAAACCATGCCGAGGTGCAGTAAGTTAAGATACTCTCTATGGTGCAGCAGTGGAAGGTCACCAGCAGTTTTTCATTCAGTTGTTTTCTGAAAAGCCTCAAGTGGTATAATCTCTGCTGGGCCCTTTTGACTAGTGCTGCAATGTGGGCACCCCAGGTCAGGTCCTCTTTTATGGTAACACCCAGAAACTTAAAACTGGCCACTTGCTCCACTTGGTCTCCATTGATAAACAAGGGCTGGATGTCTGATCTGTTCCTTCTATAATCCACTATAAGCTCCTTGGTCTTATTGGTGTTGAGGACCAAGTTATTGTCTCCACACCATGAAAGCAATCAGTCCACCTCATCACGGTAGGCAGACTCACACATACACACACCCGGAGATGAGTCCCACCACTGTTGTATCATCTGCAAATTTAGTAGTAGTATTACTAGCATGAGTAGGAATGCAGTCATGCACATAAAGACTATAGAGTAAGGGACTCAACATGCAATCCTGTGGTGTACCAGTGTTAAGAATATGGGCTGAAGAGGTATGATTACCTAATCTGACCCCTCTGTGAACGGCCAGACAAGGAATCCACAATCCCAAGGTGTGTGTTCACCAAGTGTGAGTCTGCAGCTTATTTCTTGACTGTTTCTTTACTGTTGATGGTTGATCCTAAAACACAGAAGCTATCCACCACTTCAATATGGACCAGGGCAGTGATGGGATTCAGCCAGTTCGCACCAGTTCAGGAGAACCAAACAGTTTGGTTTGGTGCAGTTTGGTGAATTGGCTGTTGGAAGACATCATTAGGGCAGAGAACCGGTTGTTAAATTATTTGAATCTTACCACTGGACAAGGGAATATGTTTTCACTTATTTTCTCTTTCAAAGCAATGATTTTCATTGGATGGGGAGTTTCTATTGTGGCTTTCTAGCTTCAGAGAAACTGTATTTTCATGCCAGCAGCTGGGAGTTTAAAACTTCCTACCTGCTATGACTCCTGGATCAGGTGCATTCACACAGAGGCTAGTCAGGATTATCAGGTTGTTTTCCATTCTTTTATTCCTCTTGCATGTGCTGATAAGAGAACAGCAGGACCTGTTAAAACAAAGGAACAGGGCAGGCAAAAGGTACAAAAGATTACAAATAAAGCTGCTTTTTAAAATTAACCTAAAATTAGCTGTCCTTGGGATAAACTGCTTGCCAAACCTCTCTCTTTTTCTTTTAGTCCAATCCTAAACATTCTGTAGAATTCATGGATTTACTTCCCCGGCTCATACACACCCCTTATATCTCCATCTAGTTTTGTTCCCGTTTCTTCTCTTCATAGTATATTTACATTTGTCTCTCATTCTCTTGCACCCTGTTTCTTTGTTTCTTTCTTGCTGTTTCTGCTGGAAGAAAGGAGTATGCATGAACTGTATTTCTATGATGATTGTTTCATAGGTGTTTTTGAGACTGGATGGTATATGAGGATTGTGGATCAACTGAAATATCTTATTTATACACAACTGGTTTTAATTAGTAGTTATTATATAACAGAGAGCTGTTGCTGTTCTGGTCTTCCCATTATAAGGATTATAACTGCTAATGAAGTATATATCCATACATACATAATTATGTCACATGGGTGTCAGCTTTGAAATTCAGCTGCCACATTTTTTTTTAAGAGAGTTGGTGGAGTTGAAAAGTTCAAGGTTATTCTGTGTGGCGTATTAGGAAATTCCATTGGTTCTAGTGATTTATGAAGTGTAGAAGTGGGAGGAGAGAAGGGAGGAGAGAAGGTGGATTCTGTGTAATGCGGGATAAATTTTCACTTTGGGAAATTGCCTTTGACATGCCAAATCTGTTTCTAAATAAATCAATTGAAGAGAAATTATCTTGGAGTGATTGATATCATGGATACTTTCTGGATGCCTTACAATGAGTATGTAGGCACCTGGATGCCTACTCTAAATAGTTTCCAATTGGAGTAGGCATCTTATATAGGAAAGCTGGGATCAGACTACATTGTTAAGATCTTTTATTCTTCCTTTGGAGGGTCCATCTTGAAATTTGGAGTCATATATGATAAGATGCTGGTTAGCTATATAGAGTAGCATAGGATAAATCATCCAGTTAGTAAGCATCTGCATATCTTTGGTATTACATTGAATGCTTGGATTTATGTATTATTCAATCATATATAAAATATATGTTTTGCCATAAGGAACAATTTAGAAACATGGTGGATAGAACTTGTTTTCCGTTTATACAACTACATTTTGGTAACTGAAGGTCAAATAAGACTTGATGTCAAAGATCTATGATCCATTTCTCATTTCTTAGGTATTAGCAGATTACAATGATGGAAGAAAATTGGGGATCCAGATCAGGGACCTTGTAGCAAGAAATTAAGCAGTGCCACCAGTACCACCAGTGCCTCCAGCTTTTTGTATGCTGGGTTCAGCCATCCCCAACTTATTGTTCCCAGCTGTGTTTAACAACAGCTTACATCATCCTCAGATAACAAGGACCAAGCTTCCTGGACTGATGTGATTTGCATATAATCACATCAGGAAACTATTCGGTATCACTTTAGCTTAAATTCTCCAACAAGTGAAACTGGATTCTATAACATGTATTTATTTTTGTGCGGCCACATTATTTTCCTAATATGTTCTCCATAATTTAGTCATGGGAAGGAACCAAGTGTAATCAATTATTGCTTAAACTTCAGCATTAAAACAGAGTTGTCAACTAAACTGATATGCTTCTGCTCCTTCATTCAGATCAGAAATCAATGGACAACTGCTCCTTATGTCATGACGCAGGGCAACTTGGACAAGAAATTAGCAAATTGCAAAAGGAGCTGGAGGAGATTCAGAAGAAGCTCTTAGCCCAGGATGCACTACTTGATCGAGCTGGACAAGCCCACCAGCAGCTTTCATCTTCCAGCAGCAAGATCACCGATGAAGTGGATAGATGTTTCTATTCTGTTCAGCAGGTCAACCAGAGTTTGAGCCTCTTTCTGGCCCAAGTGATGGGCTGGCAGGCTGCCACTTCTCAGCTAGGCAGCTCACTCAAGGAGCTAACTCAAGAACACTTTGATGTTGAAACTGCTGTGCAGCAGATAAACTTTACCAGTAGGCAGACCTCAGACTGGGTCCAGATCATCCAAAGAAAGACAAATGAGGAGACCCTGACACTACAGAAGATTGTGACTGAGTGGCAGAACTACACCCGGCTGTTTGGCACCGTGAAGACCACCTTTTCCAAAACAGCTGATCTGATCAAGAATATTCAAACTAATTTAGGTGTTGCCTCACAAAGGATCAGCCAGAATTCAGAGAGTATGCATGACTTCATTCTCCAAGTAACAAGTTTACAGTTGCAGCTGGACAACATTTCCTCCTTCTTGGATGACCACGAGGAAAACATGCATGACTTTCAATACCATACTCAATACATGCAAAATAGGACAGCTGAGCACTTTCAGACCTTAGAGGGCCGTATGACATCCCATGAGATTGAGATCAGCACAATCTTTACCAACATCAATGCCACTGATAGCCATGTTCACAGCATGCTCAAGTACCTGGATGATGTGCGACTCTCTTGCACACTGGGCTTCCACACACACGCTGAAGAGCTTTACTACCTGAACAAATCAGTCAGCCTCATGATAAGCACCACCGATCTTCTGCGGGAGCGTTTTAGCCTGCTCAGTGCCCAGTTAAACTTTAACATTCGCAACCTTTCCATGGTCATGGAAGAGATGAAAGCTGTTGACATCCGACATGGGGAGGTCCTGAAGAACATCACCATCATACAAGGTAAACAAATGGCAGGATTGGATTTCCAGGTGAATATATCCCAAATAAAAGAATACTAATGTTGATTCATTTAGACTTAGACACTGCTTCACAGTGCTTTACAGTGGAATAGTCTGGATTTTGACAAAAATAACCTTGATTCCCTCAATGCTGCTCCAGAGACTCATTGGTCACCTTTACAGAACAGAGAGGTCCACTGTTTACTTCTATTTGCTGTACGTTTTTTAACTAGTTCATTAGGTTATATCCTAGAATATTTAAAGAAAAGCTCTTGATAGAAGTTTCTTTAAATCTATATGAAAATTCTGGCTTTGTCAGTTTCTGGCCACTTTTTTAAAAAGGCACCACAAACTGTCTCATCAAAGCAGGAGGCCAAGAGGCATTTATTTGCAATTCTAGGTTCTCCAACTTAGAATTAAAATTAACTTAGATGCATTATCACAGCAGTAAAAGTGTACTCTTGCTTGAGACATTGTAATGTAAGACACAATTACATCAGGAAGTTAATGCATTTTCATGCGGCTGATTGTCCATCAGTTCTACTATAAGCCTTGATTTCTTTGGCTAGAGATTTTCTTCCCAGTTTCAGGTATATGCCAGCTTAGATAGGCATTGAGGTTCCTCCTTCTGTCACCAAACTGATTTCTGTAAGATATCAAGCCTCTAACTTTATAGGAATTAAAAGATACCTGCAGGCAGTAGAAAGTTGCAAAAAAATTCTATTTTAGGGTAAAGATAATTGAGGGAGGAATATTTTGGCAAAAAACCTGAGGGCAAAACATTGAAATGTTACAGTCAACAAAGACATTTGCCGTTTCACTGCAAATGAAGCAGAGAATGCATTGACAAGCAAGGTATTAGCCAGACAAATCATACTACCAAAGCAATTGCTGGAAATATTCACAGCAATGTCATAAATTTGGAGGACAACTGTAAATTCAGTATGTAACTTGCTTCTGGGATCCAGAAAATGTCTGCATAGAATTGAGACTCAGAACCCACTCATTACCTGGATGAGAGAAGCTAAATAAGATGTCTCTTAGATGAACGGGCAACTCTGTTATAAAACCTATGGCCTCCTTTTTGGAAACAGCTGTCAGTCTACCTCCTGCCTGTCAAATGCATCAACTGGGATGGAAGAAAACAAGAATCTGAATTTTGGAAAGGTGCTTCACATATGAGCAACTGAAGCTAGGCAGCAGAAACTGTGTATCTGCAGCAAGCAAGGAAACTTTGTCACTAGCTGAACATCCCTTGAGATTTACAATACCAAAATCGAGTATCAAATTATCATATAATAATGGGAGTGAGTGTCCTTCCCTTTCTCTTTCTATATTAGAAGAAAGATATCTGCCTTTAACTTAAAACATCAATTTTAGAAAGGAAAACAATCTTACTATCCTAATTATTAAAAAAAAATCTGGATGTTTTTTTAAAAAAACATGTATTCTCCAGTGGATAATACGCAGCTGTTACAACCCTGTGACTTTCAGAGGGGAAAAACCTGCTTAAAATTACCCTAGCCTTTTGTCTTCCACTCCCCAAAAGCTATAAGAACTACCTAAACATTTTCAGAATGCAGGTATTTTGCCTCTGCGGTTTTCCACATTTTGATGTTTTTGGATGCTTTGAGCTTGTTATTTGCAAGGAATACAGCTTTTGTTTATACTACTAATGTTACTTTTACTGGTTTGCCTCAGAATTTCAAAACTTTGTTCAATCCTGTTGCATTTTAGAGGCATTTTTCTGCAGCTATGCTGGGGAACTTCAATTAGAAACACTTTCTGAATCTTAAAATGCATTTGGAATAAATTACATGAATATCAAAATCCTCACTTTTCAGAATATTGTAATATTTATATTATGGATATATGTAGACACAAGTATTATAATCTACAAAATTGCATATACAAGAAAAAGCACAGAACTGTTTTTAGAGGGAAATGAATACAAAATATGTACTTTAAGAAGAAAGTGCACAAAATGCATGTGACATATTGTTATTACATTTTCAAACTGCAAACTGGGAAAAAACATGCCAGAACAAACATCACAAAAATGAGAAAGCAAGCAAATCCAAAATACCTTAGTGCACTTGATATGCCTTGGGCCTAACTCAGGCTATTTTGTGTCTCAGGCAGGATGAAGTAATGGTGCCTCCACAAAAACAGAGCAGTCCAAAATATGACCTGAAGTTACAGAGGATTATAGGATGACAGAAGGGTTTATGTGAGCCCACCCAATGCACTACTTCTGTCCATTGCTCATTCCTTAAGCAAGCTCTTAAGCTGCCTTCTGTCAGCCTGGAAACCATTTTTCTTTGAGGCTTCTGGGCTGCCACATTTCAGTGCCTGGGAATTTGGGAGGGGGACTTCAAGGAGTGGTGGAAAATTAGCCATAACAACATTCCTTTCTCAGAGAGCCAAGGACATGTTACTCTGCACCTAGAGGGGAGTGACTGGGGATAGTCTCCAATTGGAACAAAGTAATGATTGGACCATATGATGAACTATTGGGTGCAGAGGTTGGATTTTGGATTCTCTTTGGCCTAAGGAAAACTCAGAAATCTCAGATTCGGGTTTTCCTCAGACGTGCCAATATGACATCTCTAATAAAATGGATCTTTGAGAAGATGACAGCCTCTGAGTTTTTTAATTTGGAGGTTGTTATTGGTTGTTTTTTAATGTGGAGGCTGACACTGTCCCAGTGGTGCATTTGCAAAAGGCAACTGGACTTTCTTCTTCCTTGAAGACCTTTCACTTCTAATCCAAGAAGTTTCTTCAATTCTTAACCTGCTCTTCTAATCAATTCATGTCCATTTCATCATGTCAGCAATTATGCCAGACACTTCTCAGCACATCAAGGGACAAAGTATTGTCCCCAAAACTCCAAAAGGTTTGGGGGAGGTTGAGAAAGTTTTAAGGGATGAAATGGGCACCCTTCAACCAGGTTTAAACCCTAGTTGTTTTATTCTTAAAATTCCTCAAAAATCCAACACCCCAAAAACGGGATAAATATTTACCTTGCCCACTGTTGGGGGATTTGGATCCATAAAAGGGGTACTGGCAGGCCATATGGGGCCCACAGTCTATGCTTGTGGCACCATGGGCTATAGGACCCTTAGGGTCATCAAGGGAGATGGCTTTGGGTGTCATCTTCTACAGATTATCGTTGAATCAGAAGATGCCATTTTTCAGTTATTATGCTTATTTCCTGGGCTTTATCTATAATTATTTTACTGAAACGATTGTATGATGTGTAATAGTTTTATTTTGCATACTGTTTAGGGATGATTATAATAATGAACAATGTAAACATATATTTTTTAAAAAAAAACTGATATTGCTACCCGTTCCTTTAGTTTTTCCCTGCCTCTTCTCTTTCTCCAGGTGTTCCTGGTCCACCTGGCCCCAGAGGATTCAGAGGAGAGCTTGGCATTAAAGGGCCACCTGGAAGCAGAGGAGTAAAGGGTGACATGGGGAGTCTGGGCCCTCCTGGGCCACAAGGGTCCTTGGGCCCTCCTGGACCTTCCGGACCTAAAGGCGAGAGAGGCGCTGTGGGCGCAAAAGGCCCCACTGGATTCAAAGGAAGCAAGGGTAGCTTTGGACAAGGGGGTTCCAAGGGGCGGGCAGGCCCCAAAGGGGACCCTGGATCTCCAGGTCCTGAGGGGGCCATTGGTCCTCCTGGCCCGCCTGGCCCATCTGGGCAACCGGGCATCCCAGGGAAACCTGGGGCCCCTGGTCCTTTAGGGCTGATGGGCCAAAAGGGGCACCCTGGATTACGAGGTCCGCGTGGATTTCCAGGGCCCCCAGGACCTCCAGGATTGTAAATTCTCCCTTTTTTTTCTCCCCTCCCAAAAAGTTTTAATGTTTGCTGCAGACACCTGTCTCCCCAGGAAGGCAAAAAGATAATGAGGAATGGATGGTGCAGTCATTTAGCTTGAAAAATTTCTTCAAATCACTGAACTTCCTTAATTTTCGGAACTTCAAATTGCAGCTGCAAAGTAAGTAGGAGGAGCAATCGCTGGTAATTAGAATACATGGTTTCCATGTAAACGGTCCTAAATCCAGTCTCTAACATCTCCATAGAGGGCTAAAGCTCTAGAGACATATTGCCACTTAATAAAGCCCAGAGTCACTTGGTTCAGTAGGTGGCTATAGAAATTGAATAAATGAATACATAAAAATTAGCCATGCTAAATGAATAAAAGGGCTGACTCAATCAACAGCAACTTCGTATCTTCATGTTACACAGTTGCCATGCTTTTTGTATATATGGGTGTGTACATATGCAAGTGTGTTCATATGAGATATTGGCTCATATGCTTTTGCATTCATTCCATAGTGCAACTAGATTGTGTCACCGATCTCTTCATCTGTAACTCTCTTAAACATGTATGGTATAACTGCTACATGTATACATCCAAAACAATAAAAAATTAATATAAAGATGAAATGAAATTGCTTGTCTTCTTTGTAGGCGATGGAGCAGAGACTTGTAAAGCTTGCCCATTCCAATGTCTATTTCTTTGGGTGGTATATTCTTTCTTCCCAACAATCAGTTGGACAATCTGCTATTTTCCTTATGAAAGAAATAGAGTATACCAGAGATCATCTATCACTGAACATTGGACAGCATACAGGTTTAAACAATTAGTAGTAGAAATACCGGTAGTAGTAGCAGTAGTAATCTACATTTCGATTCACAGTCAAAGACTGGTAGGAGTTTAATAACTGAAATCCTAACCAAGGAATAAAGAATTATTAGGTAACAGGTGAAGATATAGAGGTAGGGTGTTTTGTTGTTCTTATGGTTGGTTGCATAGTCAGCCAGATGTTTAGATTGGACTTGGCAATTTTATCCACCTATCTTTACAAGATTATCTGATTAAGTCTTTCCGGTCTTTCTCAACCTTGACAATTTTAAGATGTGTGGATTTCAGGGCTGGCTGGAGAATTCTGGGAGCTGAAATCCATATATCTTAAGGTTGTGAAGGTTGAGAGACAGTGTTCTAGATAATTTCACCATTTTACGGGACTATATGGATTTTACAGAATGTGGCAGCAAAAGTGCTGACAGAAGCCTACTTTTTTATCATCTCTCCCTGAGTTTATAGCATCTTCAAAAGTTCCCACTTTTTTCCTAAGGCCCGTTCAGAATGCTGCCTTTCATCTTTAAATTTCTGGTGGTTTTAGATTGAACTAGCTAAAGAACCCCTGCTTCCCATACCAACCTACTTCCCCCCATTAGGATGCTCAACTGAGTCTTGCTCTGCATCTGCATAATCAAAAGCAATCCTATCTTGGCAAGTCATTGGCTTAGATTTCTGCATTTTCTATATTTTTCTACTGCTGTTATTTCTATCTTACTCCGAGGTTTTTTGTTTTTGTTTTTATTTTAAACTTGTTTTAAACTGTTTTCCTGTTTCACATACCATTGTACACCTATGTAACACTTACAGTCCTTATTATCTGGATCAAAGAAAGATCCTATGGAATCAGGCTACTGTAATGACCTATCTACTCCAGTTTGCTCTGTCACACAGTGACCAACCAGTTCAACCACTTTACAGGCATGTACAGGAGAGCAATATGCTTTGTCCACTATTACTTTCCAGCAAGTGAAAGCTTTCTCTGCAGGTGAAAACACTGGATCGAAATACTGATGGGAAGAAAGGAAGGAGTTCTTTGTAGTTACTTCCTCTCACTTCAGGCTCTCTGTAGTTCATAGATGTCAAACTTGCCACGTCACATTGCTATCACATGATGTTTCATGACATTTTTCCCATTCACAGAGCTGGGGTGAGCGTGGCCTGCGCATGATGCATGCAGCTCACAGGCCGCCAGTTTGACACCCCGGCGGTGTAGTTGCTTTCCCCCATTTGCAATTATTTAAAATCTTAGCCATTTAAATTTTCCAATCCATGTCTAATCTGCTCTTTTGAGGCAGAAAAGCAAATTCTTTAGCCAAGATAAAATCAAGAAGGACCAGGAAAAATTTTTCTCTGGAAATGCTTTTGCAATACCATGTATTTAAACGATCATATAATCAAGCCAAAAAATGACAAGTTGGGTGAGTGCCTAGGAGCGAACTGATGAAAATTGACTCTGATTTCCCTAAATTCCAGCAATGAGCTTCATGGGAGGGAGGGGGGAGCAATAAGTGTGTCATTCATAATGATGTGAATGATTTCACAATGATGACATATGGTTTATTTATTTAGCATTTTTTCAATTCTTAAGGGACATGTTAGGATTTATGAGCAAAAGCCTGTAATGCAGTTTTGATTGGTCTTTCTGAAAGCAATCCGCTTCTTTGAGCAGAGGAGGCTGGGTGGATAGCAGAGGAACCCTTGGATCTGTCTCCACTGCCTTGTTTTACTCAAAAGCACATCTTGCATTAAGTTTTACATTCTCCCCTTCATTTACAAACAGAAAATCGATAACCTGTTGAGAACCACATGTAGTTTGGCTCTTATTCTACCTCCAAAGTTAATTAGGACAGCTTTTTAAAAGCAAACCCTTATTACCCAGGGTTTGGGTCTGGAGGAGTGGGATCAGAGAAAAGTTAGGACCTAATTCTATTAGGTATCGCAGTGGTTAGAATGCAGTACTGCAGGCTGCTTCTGCATATTGCCAGCTGACTGCCATTTGGCAGTTCAAATCTCACCAGGCTCAAGGCCTTCCATCCTTCCGAGGTCGGTAAAATGAGAACCCAGATTGTTGGGAGCAATATGCTGACTCTGTAAACCACTTAGATAGGGCTGTAAAGCACTGTCATGCCCCTGTCGGAGTCTGAATCCAAGGAGGAAGATGAACAGCTGACAGGGATTGTGAGTATGGCTCCATTGGCTGTGGAGGAAACTGAGGAAGGGCAAAGTCCATCTGGGCAGAGCAGGGGAGAGGTAGAGCAAGGAAGAGGGAATTCAGAGGAAGACTCAGGCCCACCCCCCTCTTCATCCTAGGGCACGCAGGGAGGAATGGAGAAGAGAGCAACGTGGGTTGCGTGGCTTACAGGGGAGGAAAGGGCCCTGATTCTCTTCATTAGGCACATCTGGGAAGAGAGTTTAAAAGAGATGCAAGCTGAGTGCAGCGTCTGCTGGAACAAATGTGAGTTTATCTTGTGTTGACTTTGGTTATCTGCGTTCCTGCATCCTCCCAACTGAATTGAATTACTGCCATTCCTTCACGTCTGGAATTACTTCTCTTGCCCTGCCGAACTAATTACCTCATCTTGCCTTGATCGGACTTACAGTTTTTGTTGCCAACATTTTGGATTTCAATCTCTGCAGCCAAAGGCTGTTCCTAGGAGAGTTTTTGTCCAGACTAGAAGGTAACCAGGACACTGGGGGCAAAGTTGGAGCTAATAAAGGGACTCCTGCTTATTATTTGATTGTACTGCCTTTGTGTCATGCCCCGTGTCATCACAAGCACTGTGAAGTGGTATATAAGTCTAAATGTATGACAGTGCTATGTTATTAGATCAGTCCTGCAATTGTGACATATCCTCAAATTTTACTGGAGCTTCTAAATATAGCTGAACAAAACAAAAACCCTATTTTCCTTCTGTGGTCAAATCGCACATAAGCTGCTGACTCTCATTTGCTGAGCCTTCCTTAAATCCACCAGACATTTGCTGATCAACTAGCTCAGTTTGCTTGTTAGCACAAGCTTTTTAAATCACAAGGGGGGCGGGATTATCCTTGTCTAAGCATTAAATAAAGTATTTTGTTTTTACTCTCCAAAACACTGTTTCAAACATCTAGCTAGCTCTTTTGTCAAGACTGTATTCATTTCATGCATTACAAATAGCAAACCTCAACTATGCAAAAAGCAAAGTGTAAATGAGGTAAATGTATTGGTCTTTAAAGGAAGAGGAAAGCCATAAGTGAAACAACAGCCAAAAAAGCCACTCTAATCTGATTTTCCTGAATCTAGGAGTTTATGTGCTGTATATTTGGGGAGGGGGGAGGCAAGATAGCAGTTGTAACTGGTTGAATTTCTGCCTTTGTTTGATGTGCATCACAGGCCACCTTTGATCACACTATGGTGCCTTCATCTCAACTTTTTTTTACCACCATCATCTCACCTCCTGAAGATGCCCAGTCTGACACTGCTGGACTTGATGAGATCAGAAGTGCCTCAAGTTTTAAAAAAAATTTTTAAGTTTATAAATTTCTGAGCCAATCCTTCTCCACCTGTTGCCCTTCCAAATTAAGGAGTACATATGTTAGATCAAATTCCCTGTGACTTGTGGTTCCATGATTAGAAGTATGCTGGTGTAAATGATTGGAGTTGTAGCATGTACTATGTTATCCTAGCCTATCTTTAACAAAATGATGACCAGCGTATCTTGTACTGAAACAGGGCTAGACAACACATAATCTGTCCATCACATTCAATCTTCTCCAAGATTGCAAGAATTTTGTAATCCAAATCCAAGATTTGCTTTTCAAATCTTCCCTCCAAGCCTCCTAAAATAAAAATAAAAATGGAGGTTTTATATCCATTTCCCCCAGTGTTGATCACTGTTAATTACAATATAATCTTACAGATATCCATCATTGCTTTTAAGTAAAGACAAAGTTATCAGAAAGAAATTTCCTTCTCATATACTTCCTGGAGTATCCCTTATCTACTTTCTCTCCAAAAATAATCTTGAGGGGAAAATGGCTAATTAAACACACATGCATGCATACATACATGCCATTATCAAATCAGATGTCTGGAAAGAAAAATATCTGAATAAAGAATTGCTGTAATTGAATCGCTGAGGTAAAATCGTAATGTTAGAAAAAGCCATTTAGGTCATAGGTGTGGTCCCTGTTCCATATTAAAGCTGCTTAAGAACTACTTGGACATATCTGGTGAAGGAGAACCAATCGCCTGCTGGTTGATTTTTGTTATTGAGCAATTCTTGCAGTGAAGAATGTATTTATTTTAATATTCATTCAGAATCTGATTTCCTCCAGCAAGTACCCATTATTCTTTGCTTGTACTCTGAAATCATAGAAAAGAGAGCTTTGGTGACATCTTTTGGGGGTCTAAATACGTTGCTTCTGTCCTCTCAAAGTTAAATTTGCCTACCCCCTTCTCCATCTCTACACAGGGCTTTGTTTCTGGTATCCAGGTTTCATGAGAGGTCCCCAGAATTTAGGATTCCATCCTTGTTAG